TCTCTCTCTCTCTCTCTCTCTCTCTCTCTCTCTCTCTCTCTGGAAAAGAGAAAAAACACAAACCAAAATGGAAGGAAACGTAGAAAGTTCCGTAAAAGCAATCTTCTAACAACCTGAAAGCACTTTATTCATTATTATGATTTTTTTTTTTTAAATCATCAATTCATCACAGAGAAGAGACTGACAATTATCCAAAAAATATTTTTTCAGCATTCAGCATACATGGATCATGTACAGCAGCAAGCAGTTATCAGTGCACTGACATTCAAATAAGTACACATGATACGATATAACAAAAAAACGTTATTTCGCATCCTTTAGGTTTTGTAAGTCAATAATTCGTAAGTACGGTACAGGTACAAGGAAACACTTTGAGACAGACAGAAACAAAAGAGGGATAATATAATTCTAGTTCTAGGAAGAGTTTTACGGCACTTGCAACACAATAATAAGGTGGTACAAGTGCCAAAGATTAGAGGTGTTGCAAGAGAGAAATTAACACAAAAAAAGAAGGAGGAAAGAGGAATGATAGATGTTTGATAAGAAAGAGGGAGCAAACCACACCAGAGCACCCACCAACCACCTGTAAAGAGAGTTGTAAAGAAGTAGGAACTAACAGCCCCCCCCCCCAACCCCCTCTAACCATCCAATTAAACCAATTTTATTAATTAAAAAGAGTCTGCTCCAAGACTAAGATCCTTCATGGCTATTGATATATCAAATGTTGTAGGATCCTAATAACCCATAGCACCAAACTCCAGTTTGAAAGTTTTTGCGATACATGTAGCTGTCTAGGCTGTTTTAGTATGTTTTAATAAAAGTTTTAAGGCACTTGCACCACAAATATGTCGTATAAGTGCCTAAGATTAGAGGAGTTATAAGAAAGAAACATACATAGAAAAGGAGAGATAAGAAAGACAGATGTTCGGTACGAAAGGAGAAGCAAACCACACCAGGGGGCTCTCGTGGCCTAGAGGTTAAGGTGTTGGCCTCTCATTCAAAGGTCCCGTGTTCGAATCCGGGTACCGACCGGAAATTCGGACAAGGGCGAAAATCTCGGAGGGCCCGTGTGCAAGTTGGTTCGTATTATTTAGGAGGCCGGCTACTTTTTTTTTTTAAATTGAAGAGGGTTTTACGGCGCTCGCAACTGCATACGGTCATATGAGCACCAAGGGGTGGGTGTCAACAGAGAAGTCTTTACAGGGAATCAGACTTAGACTGCTCACCTCTTTAGCTTCAACAGCACAAGGTCTGCTTCGACTATCAAGGCACCCCGGAAATAGCAGGTCACAAGAGTGTGACAAACATACAAAAGAAGTAGAGGAAGATCGCAATAGTAAGGATCAGGAAAGAAAAAGCAGCAGTTCCCTGTTGTAGATCAGGCACAGTTATGAGCGTGACATGAGTCTGCCCATTTACAATTCTACTATGCTTGAACGAGAAATGTCCCCCTTTGGGAATGGCCAAAGACACTACAGTCACCCTGGGGGTGCCGGCTACTTCGACCCTGCCTTTCTGAGTCAATTCAGGCTGAATGGCATACAGCAAACATTCATGCATAGAGACAAACATGGATCTATTTAATAAACATTTCCTCACACAGAAACCGAACTCACATCTTCTGCACAAAAAAGAACCTGACTACATTCCATACACTGATAAAAAATGTACTAAATAATATCTTTCTTTATATTAAGTAAGGTTTTAAGGTGCTTGCAACTGGATAAGGTCATGTGAGCGCAAAGGGGCGGATGTCAACAGAGAAGTCCAAATGGGGAATCAGGCTTACTCTGCGCACCTCTCTAGCCTCAACAGTACAAAGTCTGCTTCAACTATCAAGGCACCCTGGAAATAGCAGTTCACAAGAGAGTAACAAATACAAAAAGAAGAAGAGGAAAAATGACGATGGTAAGGATGAGGAAAGAAAAAGCAGCAGTTCCCCTTATGCTGTTCCAGCACAGTATGAGCATGACATTGATAAATCAGCCCATTTATAATTCTACTGTGCATAAGAACATGTTAATATTCATTCCCCCTTTGGGAATGGCCTAAAGACACTTCAGTCAGTAGCACAGCCCTGGTGGGGGGCGTAAATAATATCAACAAATAAACATAATACAAAATAGTATGAACTTACGACTAGTCTTACTACAAGTCTGAAATCTTTAAAGCCAATAAATGGAAGACAGGGTAAACAAGAGAAATAAACTAAACTGTTTGTTCCTTTGTTAGAGTAAAGAGAAGCACACCCACACAAAAATAAGACATACAGGTATATAATAACATAGTGCCAGGAAACAAAACAAGAGAGACAGACAATGATAACAGAGAGAAAGAAAAGAAGGACCTCTGCCAGGAGCAACCTCCATCCATCTGCTTCGTTTAATGCCTTGCCTGACACAAACTTATATATCATAAAAAATTGGATGTTGAATACTTGAAATTAAGGAAAAGTATGGAAGATGGCAGGAAGGAAGGAAGGAAGGAAGGAAAGAAGGATGGAAGGAAGAAAGGAAAGAAGGATGGAAGGAAGAAAGGAAAGAAACAAACAAACAAACAAAAAGGCAGAAAGAAACAGCACAAAAAGGAACCATCATAGACATGTCTGTGAGTTATTTTACCATAGAAAGGAATGCACCTCTTGCTCTGCTGGTGCCCAGTGGTCCTTTTTCATAAAATAAAAACCAATAGGGAGGTGGGAGTGTGGAATGTGCAGTCCGAATCACCAGAGAGTAGTTTCAATATATATAAAAAATAAATAACATCTTAAATATACATTGTAGTTTACTTTAGTGAGAGTTTTACTATGCTCGCAACTACATAAGGTCATATAGTAAGCTAGCAAAACATGTGTAGGTTCTATTCATGACAGTTCACAGCATGGTTTGGTTTTATCTGATGGTAAGGCTAAACATTTTATGATAAAAATTTTGTTTTAAAAGCAGCAATTTACATTGTAAACTAACAATTTTCTACATTTTATAGTAAAGGTCAATGCCCTTTATAAAATTAAAATTCAGTTGGGATCAGCAAAGGGGAACAAATTTTTTAAAATTCATACATTAAAAATATTTCCTTCCAGTCTCTCCAAAGTCCAGGCATTCCATCAGTATTTGCCTGATGGTAAAATCTGTATTGCATCCAAAACCTGTCCCCATGGTTTTACGCAAAAAAAGTCTGAAATTATGCAAACTGAGCCAAAAAACGTGAAATTATGCAATTCTGTTAATTTTTTAAAAAGAATAATAAAGGGAAATAATCCGAAATTATGCACAAAAAAATCAAATTTTGCTAAATTATGCGGTGTGCATAAAACCATGGGGACAGCAAAACAAAAGAACATCTCATTTCCCCTGCATGAGGCATTTATGAGTTGGGAGGTATGTCCAATTGGCTAAAACAGCACCTGGACATGGATGGCTGGTGCCTCTATAAATAAATCATTGATGGTCCGGTATGTCCAATGCATAATCTTGTAAAAACAACTGTATCTCTTCTGGAGAGGCCTGAAGATGTTCAGGCCCAGTTTGGGAATAATAATATCGTGGAGCTTGCCGTTCAATTGTTCACTCCAGTGTTCCTCCCACAGACTGGAAGCGTAGCTTCTAAATGTATTTTTTAAGTCTGTCTTTTTTAGTTTTTAGTAGAGGTTTTACGGCGCTCGCAACTGCATAAGGTCATATGAGCGCCAGAAGATTAGAGGTGTTACAAGAGAGTAACAAACATAAAAAAGAAGAAGGGGAGATAAGGCAAGGACAATAGATGTTTCATAGGAAAGAAGAAGCAAACCACACCAGAGCACCCGCCAACCACCCACAAAGTCTGTCTGTGGGAGGGTGTTGTCCATTGATTCCAAGAGAAGGGACAAGGATTCCTTTGATACAAGATTGACTTGCTCGTTTCCCTGGATTCCCACACAGCTAGGTAGTCATGCAAACACAATATTTTGTTCAAAAACATCCCATAATTTAAAAAATCAACAGTTACACCCAAACAATGCTGTCTTCCAATAAAGGACAACTGAACAGCACAAAAGAATTCATCTTATCGAACTACGTAATGGAAAGAACACATTTTTTTAAAAATCAAAGTAAAATATGCACACACAAAAAAATAATAATATCTATTTATTGCAACAAATGTAGTGGAATATGTGCCACAACACTGTGGAATCAGGCACTTGTCACTACTCATACATATGGACATATTGATATCATCTGTTAAAGCTTATCAATATATCTTGCTTTAGATGAAAAAAACACCATCTGTCTCGAATTAAGAGTAAGAGTCGACATATATTTGCTACTCAATGAAGTGGGGTCACCTGGTGTCAGAGGTAAAATTAGCAAGAAAATGGCCACCAAAGTTAAGAGATTTTCAGCCCTTGAGTGTCCTCGGAAACGGTACATTTTTTTTTTTTTTTGATGCCTTTGATGAACATTTTTCAGTAAAATCCACACAGAAATGTATAATTATTAAATAGACCAAATAGGCGTTGAGCAAAAAATACCAAAATCTGTACAAATTGCGCAACAGGTGGGAAAAATTATGTTTCTTGAATATCTTTACTTTGACCAGAGCCTGATTTCATAATGGACACACATAATACATGTATAATGATTGGGAAGCTTAATGAAGACTACAGGGGAAATAATGCCATTGTCATGTACACGCATTTCATTAATTTGAGTTATACCCCATGGGGGATTCATGCCACTACATTTAAAAAATAACACAACAATAATATTATTATAAAAACATTTTATAACAGAGACAAGTGGGACTGAGCAAGTAAAAATGAACAGAGAAAATTTCATATCCTTCTCTTTTAAAATATGAAATTTTCAAAATCTCTCTATATAAAATTGGACTTAAGAGGCTTTGTGCACAAACTCCTCCCTTATTACCTAACCCACGCCTTTGAAACTTCGCAGGCGTCCATGCAGCTTGGACCTAACTTTTAAAAATCCACGCAATCTGCTTTCCCCGATTTTTCCAAAATGCTTTGTTTCGTCCACACAGAGTTCTAGCATTTCAGTGCAGTGTTCAAGACATATTTCAAGACTTCCGTTCACATGCTGTGCGCACTTAACCCACCATGACTTGATGATTAAGTTCATTCATCGAACGAGGTACCCAGCTAGTTTGAAATTTAAAGCTTTCTCAAATTTACCAAAGAGAAACTCTTGTCATTATTCCTACTGTAGTCTTCAATATAATATACAGTCTTGTCTAGCATTCACATGAAAAACGCACCGTGAAAAATGCACACATAATGTACAAACAGATTTTCTGGTCCCAAATTTTTTCTTACATATTCTTCGCTTTCAAAACATGCACATAGAGCAAACCATTTGTACAAATAGCACCAAAAGAAAAATGGGCAAAATGGGCACCAGTGAGGGCGTCTAACTTAAAGATAGCTGCAAATTCAGTTCACCATTGTACCCATAACATGAGGAGAGAGAGAGAGAGAGAGAGAGAGAGAGAGAGAGAGAGAGAGAGAGAGAGACAGCACAGAGTAAGGCAAGGTGTGGGCCGATGATTCAATTATAATTATTAGGAAAGAAGTTCAATTCAACCCTGACTGTCAGCTCCAGCCTAGGCTGAGAAGGGTACAAAATCCCAGCAGGCAGAGGGAGATACAATTTGATTTTAAAAATTTCTCCATCAGGGAATTGAACTCACATATTCTGCAAACAATAGGTAAAAGCTTTTTAACTAATAAACCACAGACACTGGTATAAACACTCTATTATCAGAGTTACGCAAGCTTGAAAGCTTTGTTGAAAGGTATGTTGCCATGGTGATATATGTAATTGAAATGAAATTTGAGAGAGGGTCAAAGAGGCAGGTGAAAGTTGTGTATGAAGAGCATTGTTGATTCATGACCACACCGCTATCACCACGGAGCTGTATTTGAATTATTCACTATATCAGTGCGGGTGTATATATAATGTCTGTATATATGAGTATCTTCCTCAGGTGATATATGAAGGACCATTGTGCATGCCTTAGACTTCTGACTTTCGCTAAAACAAAAGAATGACAGATAGACTGACCATATTAGACTCCTCTCCTTGTTTAAGTAATCAATAGTCTAAAACAGTGCAGTGCAGTGGCATTGGAAAATGTGTTTGTTTATGTAACAAGGAAGGGGAGGGGAGGCAAATCAACACAGTCATGGTCATAGAAGGCAACCAAAAAGAAAATTGGACATAAACAAAAGAGATGTAGTAAAAAAAAATAGAACATATAATTGGCATCCCTAATCACCCATTTAAAATTTAAATTAAATGGAACACATGTATCCAGATATAAAGAAATTTTATATGCAGGTGATTTCCCCTATTTGATTTTCTTTTGCTGCGACTGCTTCCCCTGCTGTTGAAATGCTGAACTAAACAACGCGTCCAACATTATCCATAGAGGCAAAAGGAGGTGAGGGCTGAACATACCAATAAGAACGAGACGCTCATGCATATTTCTTGGTCCTGGGAATTTTCCTTTAGAGAAATCGTGTGTCAACGTGTGTCCAAAGACAGGAATGAGCATGGTGGCGACGTGGCAGCCGTATAGAATGCTTGGAATCCTCAACCAGGGGCACTGCCTGGCACCTGTGGACGTATACGTAAGATTTCAAATACAGCAATTCACATAATTTATTTGAATTGACAACCCTTTCCTATTTACCCCAGACAAAAATCGAGCAGTTAAAAAGAATGTAGTACTAGCTTTTGACCCAGCCAAAACCGACCTGTGAAAAAAGGCTTTGATACTGTTTAACCACGATGAAATTAGCCAAGACATGCATCTCGTTTTTCCCACTTGATTCCCTTTATAATAATGGTGAGCTTGGTTATGAGAACAACAGATCATCATCATCATCATCATCATCATCATCGTCATCATCATCAAGAGCAAGATCTGTGGCAGACATCAGCAATCATGGTTCTCCATTCATTCCGTTGCTTGGATGATCTCAACAAAAAGCTATGTTATCCTCTTCTTGGATTCATTTGTCCAGTGTCTTTTCAAAAAGCAAGGAGAAGACAATTACCATTATGATAGAAAGAAGATCATTTTCAACAAAACCATAAGCACTTCAAGGTGCAGCATTATGACATTTTTGTCTGATCCCTAGGGTTGAGTTGACAACAAGACAAATCGGCTAACTTGCTCATCATCCCATTATGCTGACATTAATATTGTTTCAAACCCAAAACAAGACAATCATAATGTGTACATACAAGAAGGTCTCTCTCTCTCTCCCTCCCTCCCTCCCTCCCTCCCTCCCTCCCTCCCTCCCTCTCTCTCTCTCTCTTTTTCTCTCTCTCTCTCATGCACGCACGCACACACACACTTCTTTGGTCTGATGTGTCCTTGAGAATAAATTTTCTTTACTTCATCCTGGTAGGAATGGCTACCCGGCCATAGACAAGGAAAGATCTTGTCAGTATGTTAGTGTTTTAGAGCTTACAAAATGGCAGCATGTACAGCAGTTGAGATTATTTCAGAATGCTATCAGGTCTGCTGGGGTAATAATATATATTGTAAAGCGTATAGAGCTTGCTGTGGAGAGGGAACTTTCATGATACAAATGATGTCTAATATCATTATTAAACAATATTTGACAGAATTATGTTTAAAGGAGACTCAGAGATCTAACTCCAACCCTCCTTCTCAGTGTTTGCAACTGAAGCTGTCATGCTGTCTCCTGATTGACTTGATTAATTTTAAAAGTACATATTATAACTCCTGTGTTGTTCAGCAAAGCTCTCTTGGTCAAGTCAAGGGGTTACAGTGTTCACCTCTCATTCAATAGGTCCCAGGTTCAAAACATGACAGCGATGGAAAATTTTCTATTCTAAAATGTTCTCTTTACAGCTCCTATCCTGCTCTCTAACCATGTTCTGTCGTCTGTTTCCATCGCCACTTTCGGCCCCAACCCCCCAAACCTTTACCCCCTCCTCTAGGATCTTGACTCTTTCTGTAGCCTGGCTACTGCTACTCCTTGGTTCCTTTTTACTGCTGTCTTTCAGCCACACCTTTGATCTGAGGGTAGGTAAGATCTAATACCCAGCCTTCTCAGACAGGCGAAAAATCTCGGAGGTCCTGTGTGCAAATTGCGCATCTTAAAGATTCCTCGGTGATCCAAAATCAAAAAGAGTAAGCGAAAAGAGTAGGCTTCAGCTGCCGCCCCGGCAAAATTTACAATTAATTTCTACCAAACTAAAAACGTTTAATGTGTCCCCACACACTTATATTTTTTATTATCTTATGCAGTTGCAAGCGCAGTAAAACACTTACCAAAATTTTTTGTTTAAGTCAAAACATATTAACAGGCTAGATGCTGAAACAGTGCAAAAGAATTTCTTTAACCCAATTATTTATTTTTCAGGGCTGCATATCAACTTACTCAATTTCAGCAGTTTCCTTATGCTCAACTTATGAGCTGTTGCTAAAATCTGTCCATGAAAATTGAAAGCAATGCCAGTTTCTCTCTAGTTATGGAAAAACGTTTTTGACGATCACTCATAATACAAACTCTGCAAGTGACAAACACAAATGAGTTTCCCAATACTTCAAAATTTAAAAAAAGGGGACTTACTACATATACAGTCTAGCACACACATAGTGAATTCTGCAGGATAGGACATCTTTTTGTTACAAAGTATGAATTTTATTTATGCAAGTTTTAAGCGTAAAGAATTTCTACATGTAACAATAAGAAAAAATTCTGGACATGAAAATCTGTTATAAATTTATCATAAGCAAGCTTCGTTATGTGCATGCTATACTGTATAGAGATAATGTTAAAAGGTTAATATGGATTGCAAGAAGACAGCATCTCACCTTTAAGATATCCATAAAGTGCAAACACAGTAAATGGAAGCTTTATAAATACAGTACATAAAATTAATGACTGATACCATCCGGGAGGATCCATCAACATTGGGTCACGGAACTCACGGCAGTAATCATCCTTCATTGCAACCACCTGTGAATATAATATGTGTCATGACGTGGTGGAATCAGGCGCTCCTCAATTTTTGGGCATTTAGAGTAATTGGTATCTTTCTAAACAGGCGCGGTTCGTTAACTGGGCAAGACCGGCAGAGCTGGTCACTTTTTATCGGCTGAACAGTGGACAAGAGATTTATTGCTGCTAATAATTTTCATTCATTTTCAAGTAAGTCTTAATGAATAATATTTTTCGTCAACATTCAAAAAGCACATTGCTGATTTGAAGGCCCCCCCCCCCCCCCCCAAAAAGAAGATGATAGCGGTTCACAGATAAGTTGATGAACTCCAGATTCTTTTTCCTTCGTCTCCGTTTTATCAACGGTGGCTCACAATTTTGTTGTCACCGCCTCCTGTCGCAACAAACAACTTCGTGCAAACACCGTGTTCCTAGCCGGCGATTTTACAAATTGTCTACCGGGCCCAAAGAGAAAGCCTCTAGCTGCCAATTTGGCTTCTCAGTTGCTTACTTTATTGAAGGATAAGACTATTTAATATGTATTTCATCAGAAACATTATCAGCAAAACTGTCTCTAGTTACTGTTTGTACATTTATTGTCAGCACAGCTCAAATTTGTATTGCCTGTAGGTTTTTGGTCACCCATGGTTCTGTTTGATGTTCTAATCGTCACTTACTTCCTACTGAAACCTTACCTGGCAGACTGGCATATTTAAGAATTTGCTAATCATGTTATAGAAGAAATGTTACCAAGGATGAGAGTCCACGAGAGGCACTTGGCTGACAGAGTATGGGCCGCTTAAACAGCATCCTACCCTGCCCTCCCCTTTTCCCTCACCCCGGCAAGCACTAAGTCCTATATTGACACAGTTCCCCACTTACCCATATGCAGTCTTCTGAGAAGTGCGACTAGAAGGTTTGAATATGACCAGGAATTGTGTGCTATGACTATGTTCAGTGCGTGTACATTTTTAGTACACCGTTGTAAATGATTCTACTTCAAGATTTGATCTGCACAGGACAGCGTCATGTCATTGGTACAGTATCAATTATCAAAGATTCTTCAGACTATCTTAACAGTATTTACTTTATAACATTATGTAAACACGTAAGTATTTCATGGCTCAGTCTGTAATTGGTTTGTGCGTGCGTGCATGTATGTGTGGGTGTGTGTGTGTGGGTGGGTTTGTAGTGAGGGACAGCGAAGGTGTAGATATACAACGGAGAGTGTGTGCATGTTGTTGTTTTTTGTTGGGGGGGGGAGGAGGGGGGGGGGAGGGGGGGAGGGAAGGTGTTGGGGATAAGAGGGAGGAGGAGGGAAAAGGGAATTGATGTGCAGGGCCAGTCGGTCAGTTCTACAAACCACGAGCAACCCCAGTTTTTAAATATTTATGCATGTTCATTTATCTTGCTTTTAATGAAAAAATAGCTATCTACCTTAATTAGAAGTTGAGATATTTGCAACACAAGGAGGTAGGGGTTGCCTGGTTTCAGAGGTAAAATTAGCAAGAAAACGGTGACCAAAGTTTGGAAAATTGAATTTCAAAGCTCGAGAGTCCTGAAAAACTGTAAATTTAAATATTTTGTGCCTTTAATCAACATTTAACAGTAAAATCCACACAGTAATGGGCTTTTTTTTTAATGGACATATAAAAAGCTGAGCCATAAAACTAAAATTCGATCAAAATTGCCAACGGGTGGTTGGAGGGTGCTCTAGTATGGTTTGCTCCTTCTTTCCTATCAAACATCTATCGTCCTGATCTCTCCTCTTTCTTTTTTGTGTTTGTTACTCTTGTAACACACTTCTAATCTTCAGCCCTTATAACCTTATTGTGTTGCAAGTGCCGTAAGACTCTTACTTAAACTTTTTTTAATTGCGAAACCGGCAGAAAAATGCTGGTTTCTTCGATTTCAGAATTTTGACGAGCGTTTGATTTCACCATGATGCCTCACATATATATATATATATGTTTAAAGTTTACATTGGATTCCGTCTCAGTCCTCTACAATTTTAGTTGACTTAATAAATCCCAATGCATGTCCATTGACATTGTTACAGTAACTAGCCATAAAGGTATGCCAATCGCCTCTGGAATAAATTTGATGGCACCTCTCAAAAAGTTTTTCTCTATCAGTCTGTGTGTCATTTTTCACATAGATCTATGTCCAAAATAGGCTAAAGGTCTAGTTTCCCTTTCATAGAGAACACCTTTATTTTTTAAACTAAAAAGAATGAGAATTGGGGGGAGGGGGGGGGGGTAAATTTAGCAGGCAAGCAGAGTGAGGAGCCACCTATGAGCAGGTGTAACATTATGGATAAATGATGATAAAGCTGTTTATAAAGCATGAGTTCTTATGTCTTCTTTGTTTCAAGCTGTTGATGCATGAATCACTTTGCATTTTCTTTACATTTCGGGTTTGTTGACAGGTTAGTTCTGATTAAAGCAGCCTAAGTAGTAAAATATATAGTATAGCCTATGTACTGTACAGTCAAAATAGTCTATAATAATGGACACCCATTGTCGAGGAGAAAAGTGGGTTGTTTAAACAGGCGGACGTCTTACACAGTGTCATTAGGTCTATAATGTAAAAAAAAAAAAAGCAAGAGGAGAAATGGGAAGTGGCTGTTTGTACAGTTGATTGTCTTATATAGGGGGCTATTAGATTAAGTTCAATTGTAATTTAATTTCTGCAAGCATCTAGCAGGAATAGAATACATAACAAACAAACAAATGAAACAATATTCAGGAATAGATTATGATATGCCTTAAATAGCTTGATCACTTTCATCTGATCACATTTAAAACAAGTTAAAATTAAAATCGCTATGTTTAATCTTCCCAGATCTTTGGGTCTACAAGTTGTATGAACAACAGAATGTAGAAGCCCATTATGAAGGTCTATGCAAGCTAAGATCCTGAGATGATTTTTTTTAGTTGGCCTAAAGTAAAGCGAGTCACAAAAATAATAGCGGATTTAAAACATGCAGTCAAACACTGGTAACTTGAATTCGTAGGGGATTGTAAATACAGTTTGAGATTTCCGTAATTCGTCAGGTCCATGAAAGCTCCAAATACAAAAAAAAAAAATAAAGAGGAAATCAAGGGAGGTAAAAAAAAACAAAATAAAAACTATTCACGAGGTTAGCTCCCTTGATGAACTTGTTGATGGTGTGAAAGCAGGATCAAGATAAAAGAAAGTGAAAAGCAGAAAATCTCTCGTGTGCACAGCCGACTCCTACATCATTCCTTCCCACTCATTTCATTTCAACTTACAGAAAGTTACGCCTCTTGTAATCCGCATCCCGTGCGTCCCACAGCATGATTGCACACGTGGTGAGCCAGTCATGCAGTGCGGTCAGCAGCACTCCCTAACCCCCCTTCCCCACCTCCTCTTCCTCCAGCCTCTCGTGGTAAGACAAGGATCACGTTTTGGCAGTAACAATATTAACAATAACAAAGAAACACCTACCCGCGGCCAGAAAGGCTGCAAAGCCGAGTCTTTAGTTGAGAATGTGAAGTGGATTAGTTCGAGATTCTAGTGTTGTCACGTTGTGTGTTCGGAGTGATCGGGAACTCCGTGAAAGATATTGTAGAGACTGAGTACTGAAACAGGATCGAGCATTATGTTCGAGACACCTGAGAATTTGTGATTTTTGTGTTCGAAATTCTTGAACTCTACTGAACATCTAAAACATTAAAAAGTTGACATATTTTCCGAAACACATCACTTATTCGCACACCTAAGACCTAAGAAACATGGCATGGTCCAACAGACGGGTGAGTACTTTTCAAGAATCTCAAGGAGACTTCTAGCCTTGACTGTGGGGGGATGAAAACTACAGGCTTCCACTGAAATATATGGAGGCCAGGTATTATCACGGTCTCAATATGAGTAATTTGTAAGCTAGGTTGTTGTAATTTGTAAAAAATTTAGTAATTATGTGTATGCACCGAAATAGCTGTATTCGAAATAGGGTCTAAATAGAAAAACTTTTAAATTAAATTATTACCGTACTGATACTGGATCAACATTTTACAAAAAAATATTTTTGTTTCGTCACTGGCATATAGGTAAATTAACAAATGGGTGAACTCTTTATCTTCGGCAAGCCGCTCCTAGCAGCTCGCTGTAGGATCTGCTGTGCCAGTGAGCTGAGCCGCTGACAGCGGCTCGCACACATTCCTTTACGACGACTTCCACATCAAATTACTTTTCCCGGAAGTTCATTCGTAAGATGAATACTATCACAATAGGTTTGCTAGTTTCGACTTTATGACCCATTTAGTGATGTTTTTGTCAGTTTTAGATTTAGTACCAAAAATGTGGGCCCCGGCGTAGTAGGTTTATCCCCCCCCCCCCCCCCCCTGGAGATAAAGAGGTTAACATGGACAGATGAAAGTGAACAAGCTACTATTATATAATATAATAATGATCTATACGCCCCGACTTGGAATGATAAATGATGACTATTTAAACTTAACTATAGTGTGGTAAAAAATTAGTGGCGCAACTTATAAATCCTGAAATATCTCTTTAACGGGTGAATCAGTGTTATCCATACTTTGCATGCAGTTCGTATCCAATTTGTCTTAAAACTAAATCATATTTTTTCTAGAACAATTGGGGTTAGATTTAAAAAACTTTTCTTCATAAATTTATATGTGTATAATACTTGAAATCTCTGTAACATATCAAATGGTATTGTTCACAGCACTTCCCGCTTCTCACACACATTTTGATTACACATGGCCTACGTCACAGCTCATCAATGACAATTTTTACTTGCAAAACTTGTTACAAGAAATTATTGATAGTGAACACATTTTTGCACTACTAATGGCTCTCAAAAAATGCGTTCAATAAGCATATAATGTCCCCATTAAAAAAACCTGACGGACTTGCTATTAAAAGCAATATTGCCCAAACTGTAAACATTAAGAAATCTGTAGAAACCACCCACTTGAATTAGGAATTTTCTAGAATACAGCTTGCAGGTATTTACAAAAATGTTGATCTGTTTAAGTCAAATTGATACAAGTCACTGTGCAAATATTGCAGAACCTATGTTCGATAGCTGTAAGTTGAGGAGATATTTGAAAATAAGTCGCACCTGTCATGATATTTTAATGTTTACCGTACTACGACCTCATTGTTGTACAACCTGTGTTCCAGTGACCTACTAACCCTCTCACTTTTAGTTTCGACTTAGTCTTTGTTCTGTTCGCACTTCGAGTCTGTGTCCCGGCCGCAGCATGAGCCATTAAACCTCTGTGCCTTATCTGCTGTATTCTGTAGTCGATCATTCCTTGTACTTGTGTGTGTATACAAACACGACAGCACCACGAATTTTTGACCATATATACTTTAATAATGGCCTCGACCCACTTGAGGTAGAATCTAGGGTGATCTTATACTTTAGCACGTTAAATTCCCAAAGTCTACTAATCCCCGACTCAGACCACCTTCAAAACTTTGAACTGGGCCTAAAAATGTGCAAACTACCGTAATTTTGTCATGGACAGATCATATAACAGTGGTTTTCAGTCTTCCATGATGATTTTGGAAGCCATAGAGTACAATCTTGATGACATAGAATTTTGATCCAGATCTGATAGTGGTCGTTCGGAAGTCCTCAATTGAAGAATTTATTTAACGTGCTAGATCTAGCTAACTATAGACTATAGGCTAAAATATAATAAGATCACCGATCTAAATTAGATCTAGATTTTAATTGTTGTTATAACCTAATGCCATTTTCACTCACTGATTTAGGGAAATACTCCTCGGGCAGCAATGCCTGCAGATCCACGAGCAAAACGATGGGAATATGTGAGACAAAATAAAAACAGAAGACAGCATCAGCAAATCTGAGCATTTTCAAGTCTCTTGTGTCTTGTTGACACAGGCTTTTTTCTCAAACTTTCAGGTTCAATTAAGTTACTGCGCTTTTTCTAGATCTAGTATTCACGTTAACAGCAAACTGGAAGTCAGAAATCCAAAGCTGAAATCAAAAGATACATCAATATTAACTTGTGTCAATAATAATCGACACACTGCAAATTTGTTGTTTCGCGGAGCTCTAAACTCGTCGTCAAAACTTCCTCATTCATAAAGTTTGGATTGCGAATAATCTACTCTCGGGGGATTCTTGTATTGCAGTATGCAGCAGTACGCATTTTTTTGTAAGTGCTCCAGTACTTCCATTCGTTGAATTATGCTGTGGGCTTTTTTGTTTGTTTTTGGGGGTTTTTTGGGGTTTTTTGTTTGTTTGTTTTTTTGGTTGTGTGGGTTTTTTTGGGGGGTTGTTATTGTTTTGGGGGGGTTTTTTGTTTGTTTTTTGTTGTTTGTTTTTCGTTTTCTTTGAGGAGGTACTTATTACAATGTATTATAATTTTTATGTTTCGGTGCAGAGCTGTTTTATAGTTGGCATTTGGTTAACATTTCATTATTCACATGTCACTCAACGAGCAGGGTTTTTGCTATGACTTTTTTTCTCTCTTTGTTTCACTTTCACTTGCAAGCAGGAAAATTTTATAAACCCAATGACTTTCAGCTGCGAACAAATATTTTTCTATTGTCTGGTGAAGAGCGGTTGATGAGAGAGGGGGACAAGTGGGCTACGACTACGTCAGAACCGCTGCCCAAGAGCAAGCAGTGGCCGCAAGTAAGGGAATGCAGTGTGGAATCTTGTCCTGAGATCTAGTCAGTTAGTTAACGTTACACTTAACTTAAAACACATGTTAATTACTTTTCTTTTAACAAGCGACGCCTGTTGCTGTTGTTGTTGTTGTTTTTATATTCGTCTCTTTTGTGTTTGTTTTGTTCGTTTTGCTTGGTTGCTTCATACAGCCGTTTCATAAGTTTCGTTAACCCTATCCGTACGTCGTGTTTTGTTATCGTATCTTTTGAAACGGCTGCATAGAGAAGAAAAAGAAAAAGAAAAAGAGAAGTAAACCGACAAAATAACGGAATGACTGCCACCTGTGAAAGGAGGTTGGGGGAGCGTGTGGGTAGATGACTGTTTTTAATTTTATATCCAGAAACATTTACTGACGTGGAAAAAAAAGTGGAAACTATTTGTCGGTTTCAAAGTTCGTTTGTTTTGTTGGGGTTTTTTGGGGTTTTTTGTTTGGGGTTTTTTGGGTGGGTGGTTGCGGGGTTGTTGTTGTTGTTGTTATTTTATTGTTTTTTGTGGGGGGGGGGTTGTGTTTTTTTTTTGTTGTTTTTTAAGATACCATGCGAATCCTGGGAAGGCTAGTCTACATTACGCAGGGAATGTTCATACGAAGCAAGAGATGAAGAGTGAGACCAGGAATAAGGACTTACAATGAAGAGACTGCGGTATCTGAGAGAACTATCGTGAAAGTGTCAAAACGCAGAAGGATAACTGATGACATGGTCAATCTCACGTAAATTGACAACTTGGCATATAATAAAAATATTACGAACAGTAGGCCTAGATCACAGAATTCTACACTAAGTGTAGAATTCTGTGGCCTAGATCTACATCAACAGGGTGTCCTTAAAATCTGGAAACAATGACTGAAAGTGAGAGATACATCTAAATTTACCTTGAATAGGCCATGAGCCATGATAACATTACCAACACTGTTTTATTCAGTTGGATACTGCTTACACTTACTGGTTGTTGCTTATTTGTTATTTTGGGGAAGGGGTGTTGTTGGAATTTGTTGTTGTTGTTGTTGTTGTTGTTGTTTTGGGTTCTTTATTTGTTTGTTTGTTTGTTTTCTTTTGTTTGATTGTTTGTTTATTGTCGTCGGGGTTGGTTTTTTTTGTTTTGGGTGTTGATGTTTGTTTGTTTTTTCTCCAGTTTTACAATGTGAGATTTAAAAAACCAATCCGTGGTAGTGTCCATACTTGCTCATTCATTCCTCACTTTTCACACTCATCTTTGTGCGCTGGAAAAAACGGTCACAGCACGAACCACACATGTAGAAACACCGTGGTGTACTCTTTGACTTGAACGTATTTACTGCACAGCATGACAATGGGGTTCAACTGCACCTAAAAAGTGAGATGGTTGACAGCTGTCCTAGATTAGTGGTTATAAGATAATAAGGCTCTCGAATGCGCAACAACCGTAGGAATTGTGTGGGTTCAAATCCCATAGGGGCTCGTTGTGTCCTTGGGAAAGGCACTTCTTATTTATATACGAATTTTCCTCACGTCACCCATAAGTGGGATTGTGTAGGCCTACTAATAGACAGCAAAAGATCTTGTTAGGTTGCAGTGTTTAGCGTCTGTAATCCGTAGCTTGCACTCTGAGAAGCCGAGAATGTTCCTGAGTGTCCTAGGGTCTGCTGAGGAGATAACAGTAGTAAAAGGTGCGGTAGAGCAGATATGTTCATTATCATTTTGACGGCTTCATACTATGATGTACGAATAGGAGTCAAAAAGTAATTCAAGTGATTGTTTTTCACTTAAAGAAAAAAGAAAGAAAACAAAACCAAGACAATCAGTGTGTCACAATTTTTTTTTAAGTAACAGCATATTATTGTTAAATGAATCATTCTTTCATAATGACCTTATGCAGTTGCAAGCGCCGTAAAACCTCTACTAAAGTTACTAAAACAAAGATCACAAGGACAACAAAAGTTACGCAAATCAAAAACTGAAGTGTAACATTTCACATCTACACAATCGAAAAACTTCAAATATTTTTGTTTGGTTATTCGTATTTATTTCCAATGTCAATTTGGGCCTAGGCGACAACAGGGGCGCAGGTGGACCAAAAATATCTTGCTCCTCAAAGTCAAAGGACTTGAACAGATGTTTTGAGTTTGTTATTATATGGGAGGGGGGGGGCAGACCAGGGGGGTCATTTGGAGATTTGAAGGGGGGTGCAGCGATCAGATCCACACTGCAGCAACAATCTGATAATCAAGACGACTGAGAAAACACTGTACACTGACTTTGACAGAGTTTGCAGTAAAGTAAAGCTGAGACCCTTAGTTCGAACCCCTTGATCAACGTGACATCGGTAGGCAACGATCTCGAGTTGCGGTCATGGTCACAGTCCGGTTGCAGGCATGTCTTTCATAAAGGGAATAGCTCACGGTGGCCGTGCGATGACGTAGAGACTTTACTTTAATAATAATGATAGGGTAATAATAATAATGCAAAATATTAATTTACTGGTCGAGTTAACGGGTATTTTGTTTTCCAGCTGCCTATTGACCTAAACAGAAAAACAAAAACGAACACAAAACGAACGAACAAAAAAAAGAAGATCTACTCAAGCAATCAAACATCAAGACAATTTTCAGTTTCGAAAGTGAATCAAATTTATATTGACCAGATTCTAATGTTTTGACTGCTCTTCTTGAACTTTTAGTTCCCTAGTGCGAAACTATAACCATTGTAGTTAATATTAGTTTTTGAGAAAACTACAAGAAACTATGAGCACGAGAATTCGAAGAGTCGGTAATAATGTATCTTCTAAGTTTAGATGCTGTTAATTCAACCCCATTAAAAAGGGGGTGGGGTCGGGGCGTGAAAGTGTGCGAGAGGGAGACTTTCTTTTAGCAGTAGCCTACTTTCTTATATTCTTAAAAGTACGAATGTATGTATTTAGTACCGATATCGGTACATAACAACCCCCGACGGAGAAGTAGCGTATGTGCATATTTCGGTGTGATCACAAAATAAGTTTTTTTTGTCGAGGAGATTCTGCTAAGATTTTCTGTCCTCATCACTCTGCTGTTCTGATGGTCGAGTCCAGAAGTGTGTTCGCCAGGCCGTCTAGGGGTACAGACATGAACGCCAACAGGCCGAAGCTAACCGCCACTGCCCCCCAGTCTTTGGCCACCCCAGGCATTCCGTCAATGTCGCCGAAAATGCCCTTCATTAACCTAGTGGAGAGATACAAGTGGTATGCTGTGGTAAATTGTAGTGTGGTGTAGTGTAGGTGGTGTCGTATACTGTGGTGTGGTGTGGTGTTGTATGGTGTGATGTGGTGTGATGTGGTGTGGCGTGGTATGGCGTGGGGTGGGCTGGGCGGGTGTGGTGTGGTGTGGTGTGGTATGGCGTGGTATGGCGTGGTATGGCGTGGGGTGGGCTGTGTGGGTGTGGTGTAGTGTGATGTGGTGTGGTGTGGTGAGGTGTGGTGTGGTGTGGTGTTGTGTGGTGTGGCGTTGTTTGATGTGGTGTGGTGTGGTGTGGTGTGATGTGATTTGGTATACTATGGCATGGCATCGCAAGGAATGGCATGGCATGGCATGGCATGGCATGGCATGGCATGGCATGGCATGGTATGGTATGGTATGGTATGGTATGGTATGGTATGGTATGATATGGTATGATATGGTATGATATGGTATGGTATGATATGGTATGGCATGGTATGGTATTGTATGGCATCTGCTCTGTGGGATTGTTTTCGTTGTGCTATGTATTCAAGCATTTATAAGTACAAATATGTATGTAAGTATGCTATAGTAACGCAAATTTTCTTATAAATGTCAAGCAAAGTAGGCCTAGAATGTAATTACAACCTGGTTTGTTTGTTTTTAATTATCTCGAAAACATCCTTGTTTTCGTTTAGTTTTAATAAGAGTTTTATGGCACTTGCAACACAATAAGGTCATATAGGTGCCGAAGATCAGAAGTGTTACAAGAGAGTAACAAACGAGAGATAAGGACGATAGAAGTTTGATAGGAAAGAAGGAGCAAACCACACCAGAGCACCCTTGGTTTACACAAACACCCCTTACTTTGTGAAGTGGAACAGGACAAAGCCTGGAACAAGCACGGAAGCCACGCCGTGCCAGATGATGACATCCAGTGCCGAGATTAACATGGCCGATGCGTCCTGGCGGTCAGATGTATGACAAATAAGCAAAACAAAATAAAACAAAACAAAACGCATGTTTTACTACTTTTGTCAATTGTAAATGTCAGTGCCCTCCCCCCTCCCCCCTCCCTTCCGTCTTCATCATCACTTTCGTCATGGTCATCATCGTCATCGTTGTCGCTGTTGTTATCATCATCACCACCTTCATCATCATCATCATCATCGCCATCGTCGTCGTTGACGTCGTCGTTGCAAGTACAATAAGAAAAAAAAAGTTGGAGGAGACTTGATCGTTTGAAGTTTTATAACATTATAGAAAATGTTCAACGTTTCGCACTTATGCAATCATCATCATCATCATCATCATCATCAATCATCATCATCATCATCATCATCATCATCATCATCATCATCATCATCATCATCATCATCATCATCATCATCATCATCATCAA